CCGAACGGATTAACAAGGTTCCACTGTGTAGGAACTCTAATATAGACTAGCTTAACTGCAAAGGGATTGCCAATGTGTTGACCGTTAAAGTGTCATTGGAAAGGAGAACACTTTGGACAATTAGAACGAGCTGCCTGGTGTAGCTCGGTATAGGTTAAGTCTGTACATACGTTGGCTCCGACACTGCCATGGCTTTGGTGATGTGAGGTACACTCATCTCGGCTGCTGAAGAGCTCAAGTCCGGTTTTTGGTTTATAAAGGTAATGCATCGTTTAATTCCGTCGTGAATCATTTAACGCCGACAGAAAGTGTAAAAAAATATCTCCAGGCTACAGGTTAGCTTGTCGCGTATTTGTCGGGAGTCAGGATTTCGAGGTAACACGATTGGATTACATTGTTGATGTATAACGACTCGGGTGTTCTGGGGACAGTAGATACTGTAGACTAACATTAAGTCTCTGAAATCTTATATTACACAATATCCTTCTTGACTCTAAAAATAAAATAAAAATCCCTATGCTGATTTCACGATTTTATTGTGGAATAGAGCTAGCTTGAGCTGGCTAGACTTGCTTTTGTATGCATTTCTAGATTATTATTTTTTCATAAAATAAATATATTCCACGGTCATGGTGCAGGACTATAGATACTGGTGCAGTTCAACATCTGCACATTTATCAGGAAGCGGTTACAGATTTTAAAGTGAGTGAGTCAGTCAGTCAGTGAGTCAGTCAGTCAGTGAGTCAGTGAGCCAGTGGGTGAGTGAGTGAATCGGTGAGTGAGTGAGTGAGTCAGTCAGTGAGTGACTCAGTCAGTCAGTCAGTCAGTCAGTCAGTCAGTGAATCGGTGAGTGAGTGAGTGGGTGAATCAGTTGTTTAACGCCGCACTCAGCAATATTCCAGCTATATGACGGCGGTCTGTAAATAATCAAGTCTGGACCAGACAATCCAGTGATTGATGTCATGAGCATCGATCCACGCAATTGGGATACGATGACATGCATCAACCAAGTCAGCGAGCCTGACCACCCGATCCCGTTAGTCTCCTCTTACGGCAAGTATGGATTGTTGAAGACCTATTCTACCCCGGATCTTCACTAGTCGAGTGAGTCAGTGAGTGAGGTTTAAACCCATATGTCGACCTTCCTTCATACCACATCCTATTACATGCTACTTTCAGGTACTGTTTTAAGAGTCAGTCAGCAATATTCGGTGTCCTACAGCGGTCTGTAATCAAGGTGCCTCGGACAGATGCATCATTGTTGGAGGGCGGTCGGGTAGCCTAGTGGTTAAAGCGTTCGCTCGTCACGCCGAAGACCCGGGTTCGATTCCCGACATGGGTACAATGTGTGAAGCCCATTTCCGTGATATTGCTGGAATATTGCTAAAAGCGGTGTAAAACCATACTCACTCACTCACTCACTCATTGTTGGATAAGACGGGTTGTAAAAACGTCATTATTTGGTTTTATATGAACAGCCGGGCAGAAGAAAGTAAATACTCATGTTTGAAGGTGGCTAAAAACGAAACAAACAAGAAATGGTTATTCGATGGGGATGTATTTGATGCGGGTATCATAGTTGTGTTTTGGGTCTTGAGTTTCGGCGACTGTTTTCACCATGGAAGCGTTTTGATAACGTGTGGAACTTAAATCAAATATTCAAGTGTATGCTTTCCTTTGCCCAGCAGTTTATAAAAGGGCTTGAATATTGATTGAAAGAAAAGCATAGCCTCTTGTTTGCTTGTTAAATGGGATGGGAGATCACCACCGTTGGCTGTGACACCAGTGCCGTAGCCAGCCCCCCCCCCCGGATTTTTTTAGAAAACAGTTTTATTCGAATCCTGAAAGTACAAGTTGGGGACAAGTAACACTTGTACAAATTATTGCCCCCCCCCCCCCCCCCCCCCCCCCCGGTAAAAAAAGTTAACTTCGACCTTGGACACGACACGACCATCGGCTACTGGGTGGTAAGTCTGAGGTCATCAAGATTCAGGTGACTACCAAAACCTTCACGCCTTGCTTGAGAAAGAGGCGACCGAGAAACGGGGGCAAATTGTGTAAATATTACCAACAGAAATGGTTACTACCAATGCGTCACCGTGGAGCAAACATACCACGTTCCCTGAAGGCGCGTGTGGACAAAGGGGTGGGCCAGTCATATGAGGAGTCATGACGTTTCCCTTACGATTCCAGCTGGGCCCACTTGCACAAAACGATCGTAGCGCTAAGATGATCGCAACTCCCTACTTACAATAGTCGTAGCGCTGTGGTCGCTTTGTGCAAGGGGGCCGGTGTGTTCGAGTCCCGGATTCGTCCTATCGTTATCACCGGTCTCCCAGATAAGAACCACACCAGTGTTCATGGCTTTCGCCAAACTGGGTAATCCTCTACGTCGCGCGACTTTGGACTCACCTCCCTCAAATCACGGACACGCAGTGATATGATTGAATTCTGTTAATACCGTATTTCCTCTATTAGACGCCCGGGCTTCTAGTTATTTCGAACAAGCCTTTGACCCGGCGTCTATTGGAGGCCCGGCGTCTATTGGAGGCCCTGGCTTCTATTAATACCCCCATTTCACTATGACCACGAATGTCCCGAATCGTCACGAAATGGAAATATTTTGTGTTCGTAGACATCCATATCAATTGATCGACCCGGCGTCTATTAGAGGCCCGGCTTCTATTTTCTGCACTGAACAATTGACCCGGCTTCTATTAGAGACCGGCGTCTATTAGAGGCCCGGTGTCTAATAGAGGAAATACGGTAAGCGGCGTTAAACCAAACTTACTCACTCAGTTGCCCGAACCTTGGTTATCGGAAGACGTAAGACCAATTTCAGATCGAGAACAAATTCTCTTGGTGGGGGACCCCAGTGTTTAAAGCACTGAAGGTTCTATTAACCACATGGTAGACGCACGTTTAGTTAAACCCCGAGTATGCTTACTCCATTATATACAAGACCTCCTTTAAATGCAAATCATAACGAGTTTCCAGGTTTGTCTGATGTATGTCTGCCAGGTTTAGCCGATGTTGTAATGGTTGTCGGTATATTGAGGAACACCTCTATATTCATGATTCATAGTTTGTATTTTGGAGTAGCGTTAGCATAACTGTGTTCAAGATAGCTTGCATGAATGTTTCGGATAGCAATTAGCAAGTTCATGAATTTCAGAGTTCTACAGTATATTAATAGTACATCTTCGAAAGTCGCCCAATGTGCAAGTACTTGTGCAGACACAAATATTTTAGAGACGTGTTTGTGTCAAGATATTTTCAGTTGTGTTTCAAATTTATCTTCTAGATGGTTCACGGGTTTCTGGCAATGATTTTGTATCTGTTTGTTTCTTGTTTACAACCGCGATCGGCTATGTTCCAGGTACCTGACGGCTGTAAATACCAGTATGGACCAGACAAACTAGTGGTTGACATCATGAGCGTCGATCGGTATACGATGACATGCATTAACTAATTAACTAAGTCAGCCTGGCCAGTTGGTCGCCAAGCATAGTTTGCTGGAGACCTAAATTCTTACCAGGAATCCCCACTGAGTTTCCCGGAATTAGAGAATAACGAGACGCTTATTCAACGATCTCTCTCATTTCATCCAAGATACCGGAATACGTATGTCTTACATGATGTGTCATAATATTAAATCAATTCAAGCTTTTACATGAAACGTTTCAGAATATTTCAGCGAAAGAAATGTTAAGGAACGAGTGAGTGAGTTGGGTTTTTTAACGCAGCTGTGAACAGTACTCCAGTTATATCACGGCGTATTAGATTGATGTGGGAGGAAAGCCCGAAATGATACAGATCTCAGACGTTTACAATTTCGGTGAAACCCACGAGCACGGGTATGGTGCTGACAAACTAGAAAAATATATCGGGGCGAACTGGGATTCGAACTCATGATCATGGGTTTCTGGCGTACCCAAGGGACGTAACTCTGCACAGCGAATTGCGGCGCCTTAGACGAATGAGCCACCCGTGCCCAAGGAGCTAGTAAGCGAATGTCGTTTGAGGCCACATTCAGCATTCTTCTAGCTATATCCAGGCATCCTGTAAATAATCTGGACCGGACAAACTAGTGATTGAAAGCATGAGCATGCAGCTAACAATCTGTGCCATAAGGTCGGTGGGGTTAACCGAGTGGTTAAAGCGTTCGCTCGTCACGCCGAAGACCCGTGTTCGATTCCCCTCATGGGTACAATGTGTGAACCCCATTTCTGGTGTGTCCTGCCCGGATATTGCTGGAATATTGCTAAAAGCGGCATGAGAAATACTCTCACTCCACGCCATAAAGGTTTATGATGAAGCGCAATCATAAAAGTCACCGAGTCGAATCATTGGTAGCATAATGGTTAAAGCGTTGGCTCATCACGCATAAAAACCCGGGTTCCACTCCCCACGTGGAGAACATGTAAATCCCACAGCCGTTTTTGCCCCGCCCTGATATTGGTGGAATGTTGCTATAAGCGGCTTAAAACTATACTCACTCACTGAGCTGTTCACCCTTAGTCAGCTGTTACTGTCAGGTAAAACGCGATTTACTTACATAATTCACAATTCACACGAAACCTAAATAATGTTCATTGTGAAGTGGAAAATTATTCTTTTAAAATATATATTATTTATTATTTTAGAGAACGACAAGATCTGGAGTTAACTGTGGAAAAGTATGGTTTTGTTTAAAAATAAATATTTATTTGGGATTTTCGAAAACGTCAAGTTTAGGAGTTGACGGAACACGGCTTCACAGGCGACAGTTTAAGCCACGAGTGCTGTGTCGGTTCTCCGCTAGCCTAGCTGTCAATAGCGGCTGTTCTAGTTTCTAGCTTCACCCATAAAACTTTATCTTTTCAAGTTCAGTCGCAGATTTTATCGATATCAAAATGATTAACTTGTCAGTTTACACGTACAGAAAAGACGGGCGACGAATGTGAGAGAGTATAGTTAATTATAGAACAGTGAGTCACCCCGATAGCTGAATGCAGTTTACGGGGGAGGAGAACGGAAGAGCGAGGTCAATATTACGATACCCAGTGTACATGTATTGCAGCTTTAGCTGTATAGCGCTGACCACTGGCGGATATTACGGTGGTCTAAGACGATTATTTTGGAATATACTACTTCCGTGTGATATTGTGTATTAAGGTAAGCATGATGTGTGCACATGATATATAATTTCAGCGCATTTCTTACCCGTTCAGACGCAAGAATCGCGAAGAAATAATCGCGAGTGTTCTCAGCGCAGGAGTGACTTCAAACAAGCCGGGCGATCAAAGTGCGATCACAAATGACCGTGCATGCTTTGTAATTCTCTTTGTTTTGGACGCGTATGCAGAGGCCGTTAATTTTAATTTTCTCCTACATTCGTGATGTTTAGTTGAAGATTTACGGTTACATGTTGAGAAATTGGAACGATGGTGAACATTTATGACAAAAATGGCTGCCTGTCTAGCGAGGCTCAATCGAGGTTGAATAGCCTCACTGATACCAGTGTTCTCCCCCTATGCGTTATTCATGGTACCATTTCACACTGGGGTAAATACTCTCCCCCAAGGATGCAGGAAACAAAAGCTGTCGATGCACACAAGGTCAAAATCAACATTGCCGGAATATGTTAACCTATTTTCACACTTTCTATCACAAAACGAAGAGAAGTCCAACTGAAAATGGTAGAGGGTGGGGGCTTTCCCCACACTAACAGAACGGAGGTAGTATTGATTAATATTTTCGTGTTTTGGACAGCTGATAGCTTTACTGAAATTAGCTCAGTGTGAACAAGACGATTAAGAATTTAATTATCAATTTGTAAACTTACATTTCAATGTGGCAAATCCAACACAAAAACTAATTTATCACTGGCTTGGCTGTAATTTGTCAGTTCTTAGGGGCACAGCACAGCCAATTTGCATAGCTGGCCAGATCATTACATCAACTGTTATTGTGTGTATTAATCTAGTTAATGAGTACCCTAATCACACACAGACAATGCCCTCTCAGTGTCACACTGGACACTAATTGCAACATCTAAATCTAGACTGGAAAAAGGTCTTCAGACACTGGGGCAATAGTTGGGATCTATGCTCAGTGTGTTATCTGGCTTATAAATTACCTTGTCATGTGGGTCAGAATATTTTGATAAGCACACATTTTATTTAGGTTAATGCAGCTATTCATGACACCCAGTTCACATATGTGACACACACTGACTGCAGGTAGTGTCCATACCATGCTTCGATGTCGGGATTTTTAGATATAATTTAAAACAGGTCTTATTTGGGGTTGTGTTTGACCAAAAATGTTTTCTTGACTGGCATATCAGGACTTCAAATAGTTGGTGCACAACTGTCTTATTTGGGGTTGTGTTTGACCAAAAATGTTTTCTTGAGTGGTATATCAGGACTTCAAATACTTGGTGCATAGGTCTGTCTTATTTGGAGTTGTGTTTGACCAAGAATATTTTCTTGACTGGCATATCAGGACTTCAAATACTTGGTGCATAGGTTTGTCTTATTTAGGGTTGTGTTTGACTAAAAATATTTTCTTAAGTGGTATGTCAGGACTTCAAATAGTTGGTGCACGGGTTTGTCTTATTTGGAGTTGTGTTTGACCGAAAATATTTTCTTGAATGGCATATCAGGACTTCAAATACTTGGTGTAGGTACTAATTCACATGAAAATTAAGACGCATACACTTAATGGATAGTGTTCAATAAGCAAACAAATTGTCTTGTGCTTAAGTTGAGTTTTTCAAGCCCAACTCAATAAATGCAGAATCAAATTTAGTATGCAAAAGAATTAATAACAATAATCATGATAATAGATGGTCAGGAGGAATTAGTTTTTCGTTTTTGTGACCAAACGCTGTATCCAAATTTAGATGTTCTTGAAAGTCATAAGCTGTGTTACTTTGGGATTTCCTAATGGAAAACAGCATCAACTAAACTCATTTGTAAGGCTGTTGTCGATATGAAGCTGAAGTGTAACTTCTCACTGGAGCTTCAAGTCCATTACATAAACATTATGAAACAACATTACACAATAGTCCAGCAGTCGTGTAATATATTGTAGTACAAGTTTCTATAACACTCTCAGAACTATGCATCAAAGGTCCTGCTTGCATCACTGTTTTCATAGCTGTTGTTACAGCGCTTATACCATCGCCATGTAAATATGCTGCACCCAGGATAATATTTACAGAATTGTCATGATCGCATCGTCTTAAGAATAATTTCTTTCTGTCACTCCTGTTCTAACCCAATAATAACACGTGACTGTATATAACGAAGGTAGAATTTTACGTGATTTTGTTTCCAGACATTTTCCAGTTTTAGATACAGCACATGTTCATATATAATACATGCAATGTACCTTGAGGTATCTAAAGGACTGGCCATTTATTACATGTGTGGAGGGATGTGAGGGGAATTGGGTCCAGAGATCTTTGATACAATAATGTACTGAAAATGATAAAGCTATCCTATGTCCTTGTATATTTACTTCATGACCCTCCCAGGGGCTGTCGGGTAGCCTAGTGGTTAAAGCATTCACTTGTCACACCGAAGACCCGGGTTCGATTCCCGACATCGGTACACTGTGTGAAGCCAATTTCTGGTGTCCCCTGCCGTGATATTGCTATAATATTGCTAAAAGCGGCATAAAACCATACTCACTCATGACCCTCCCTATGTCCTTGTACATTTTGTTCATGACCTTCCCCCAGGGTAGAATAGATCTTCAGCAACCCATGCTTGCCGTAAAAGGCAACTATGCTTGTCGTAAAAGGCTACTAACAGGATCGGGTGGTCAGGCTCGCTGACTTGGTTGATGCATGTCATCGATCCCAATTGGGTGGATCAATGCTCATGATATTAATCACTGGATTGACTGGTTCAGACTCGATTATTTACAGACCACCGTCATATAGCTGGAATATTGCTGAGTGCGGCGTTAAACAACAAACCAACCAACCAACCAATCATCATGATCATGACCTTCCCTAAATATGTGTATTATTTTTTATGACCCTCCCCAAGAGTTATATATTTTGGTGACTGTCTCGATTCTCTGAACCAACCAACCACCCACCCTGTAACAAATAACTAGTCCCAAAGCAAGGTGAGTTCTACAGTGACACTTCATAAGAAAACTTTTTCAAGTTTTGCAGCTAAGTTGGCAAAGTATGTACATCTTGTTAGCTGTATGTGATACCTGTCCGACCTACCACAGCTTATCTGATAACTGTCTGAGCACCAGACCACATTCTCCAGTGTTGTGTCTTTCTTAAACACCAGTATCTATTTGTGCCACACAAAATGGATTGCTACCTTGCTTTGTTGTATACACAAAAACTCCCACTATAAATGACTATAGGCAGGACTGGTATCCTCATTGAGTTTGTGTGGAGAGTATGGCTAGCTCATCAGATTCGGAACAGGAGAGAGTCTGTCGGCTTTGAGTTTTTAGCTAGATGGGCTACCATCTGTCCTTTGTGAAGTAGAGTTTTATGAATTTCAGTTCATCTGATTAGAAGCCCAGATGTCATCTAGGATTTTAACTTGACCTATCTGGATTCAAGGATTTATCCAGACCTGCTCAGTGGATGATATTATTCCCAAGTCTGCAGCAAATGATGTTCAAAATTAATAATTTGAATTTATAATTCCACTAGGTGTAGTTGCTTGAATGTTTTGGAAAATCATGTTTGTGTGTAATTTGCTCAGAATTTTTGAAAATAAGAACATTAAAATAATCAAATTTTGAACAAAATGACAATTTTGCCCCAATTTGCTTGCCAAGGACAATTAGCATGCCTAGTGTGGAATCCTAGATAAATCTCTTAAGTTTCTTTTTTTTTTGTTAAATACTCCATAAAGAGGGCATGGTGATGCATTCTCATGTGTCAAATAAATATTTTTTGCTTGTTACAAACTCAAGGGTGAATCATGTCACCCCATGTCAATAAGGAACACCTGATTTTTCCATTTGACTATAGTTAATCTGTCATGTCATGACATGTTAACTGTAGTCATATGAGCAAATCGGGTGTTCTTTAACGTCTTTTAAATAATATATTTAGTTAATTCAGTTAATTTTTTATTTTATTTCTCCAACCCTTATAATCATGGTGGTGTAAATGCTTTAATGTTTTGGAAACTCATGTTTGTGTGTTATGAAATCAATATAAACCAATAATTATTTAAGTTAGACTTACCTACCCATTTTTGTAAACGTGTTAACTTGTGATACGTTGTCAGAGGGTGTCAGGTGCATTGAGCCTTTAGTATCAGATGTTTGCATATATCAGGGAGAATTTAAAAAAGCAACCATTAAATTTAAATGTTATCCAGTCGTCATATCTATCAATTGACAATGGCTTAGTACCTCAAAGGTCATTTTCCCTTATCCATAGTCATTGAACATGCTTTCTGGTAGGGCTATGACAAGTAACTCGGGTACTCGGGACTGGTGGGTACAGAGTACGATCCGGGTACCCATTGGACTACCTGGACCCGTGGTTAGTCACATGATATACTGTTTAATGAAGAAAATTATCTGGAACTCTGGTTACACTAAAAGTCTCTTATGAGTTATATTGACTTTTCTTTCGCACACGGAGCTTCTGACTTTAATGTGTTTGAGTAAAGATAAAGATTCAGTCAACTCCAGTGTATGCATGATCAGATCGTTGTATGGTGTAGGGGAGTGTATCTAAATACTTTTTGTCAGCCCTCCGTTCAATCAATTCTCAATCGGATATTTTGTACTCATCTTTTGAGACCTACATCGGGTACCTGGTAGGGTCGGGTAAAAGGGTTGGGTACCCGGGTAGTAAATTTTCGTTATAGTTTACATTGTTAAATCGTTCACCTTTATGGACTTAATAAGCAGTTGATAAGACAAAGACCATCTTAACGTGTATTAGCGTTGAGAAACAAAGTGATGGTTTCACGTGGCCTAGAACTTAATATACAACCTGATTCAAAAGACTAATGGATGTCAGGGAAGCTAATTACACACACCTGTGCATGGCCAATCACAAGTGTCCTGACACTAATTAACAATCAGCTGAATCAGGATTCAATTAACATCTTGTTAGTACACAGTGGAGTTCAATAGGGATTCAGTATACTTTGTGGCAGTTAGTTTCTTGTTACAGAAATATAGAAGAAAGATGAATCATTTTCAGCTATAATTATGATGATGATGATGGCGGTGATGATGATGATGATCACTATGATGACAATGATCACTATGATGACGATGATGATGATGATGGCGCTAATATCCAATCACCAAGATATAATGTTGGTTTTGTGATCGATGTCTAGTCTATGAAATATTTTATTACTCAATAAATTTATCTGCTTTAAAATATTTTTTAATTATTCTAATGCTGATTTCATATGTGAACATAGCTATCTAACCCAAACAAATTTTTATCGCCTAGATTGGTTTTGATTAGTCAAATGCTGACATGCCTCTAGGAACGTTGCAGAAAAAAACCCTTGGTATTTCACAAGATAGAGTGTCGTTTCTCATCTGACAACAATAAGAGTGATCTGTTGCTTGGTGTCGAAAGTGTAACAATTTGTATAAATGCGTAACCATGGTAACAATAAATATTTCGGGGACGCCAATGTTGCAATATGTCCTTACTTCTGATTTCACTAAGGTCATCCATATTGTCTGTCTCCATGCTCAGCTTCAGCAGGAGCCGTCGGTCGAATGAAAAATAAAGGAAATATTAAAAGAAGTGATTCTTCTTTAGTCGAGAATACAACTGATAATTGTCTGTTGTTTAACATGAAGCAAATGGTTTACGATTTGATCTTACCAAATTCGCCGTAATAAGCGCTTCTGGCTGCTCAGAAAATAAACAAAGGGACACAGTTATTGAAACAATACACAATTTTTTCATCTGTTTTTTTTCAGCAGTAGTGATCAGACCGAAACAGAAATACACAAGAAAATATGGGATGTCGTGTAAATATAAAAAGTCTTTGTTGGGGGCATTTATAGAGATCACTAACAGATTGGTCTAGAAGTTTGTGATGTACACTTAATACGGTGAATACGGTGAATACGGTAGTTGTGATGTTTTTGCTGTGCAAAGGTTTCAGCCTCCGTGTTGAGAGTCTGATTGGATTAATGAGTGAGTGAGTAAGTGTACCACAAGTCCTAGATGTGATCCTGGTGAAACTGGTGAAGCCATTTTGTGGCGTCAAACACTTGTGCTTCAGTTTCCAAGCCCTAAACCAGGGTATCAGTTTTGGGTCGTTTGCATTTCTTAATGTACCGTAGTTCCTCCATTAGACACGCTCCTATATAGGATGGTCTCTGATTGGCCCCAGGTCATTCGCTCCGTCCAAACATAGAAGCTGGGCCTCACTTACACACTAGGTCTTTAATACCGTGATGTGTTGGTGATTGATAATGACTGTTTCCTGAAAATGTCCCCTTTGTGTGACTAGAATTTGGGAGTGCCACTGGGCCAGCATTAAACAGAATATTAAAGTTAACTTATTTATAATATTTAGTCTGTCATAAAAAGGTCTGTACAAAATATACACATTCAGCATGTGTAGATTGGCAGTGTGTGAAGTGTTGTGTTGTGGTAGTGTCGGTAAGCATGGCGAGGGAAGCTGGGTCAGGTACTCAGTACGCACAGCCTGATGACCTCGCCTCAGTCGGGGTAGACCTGTGAGGTCCAAGCCAAGGTCTGTGTAGATCGTGAGGCTTGTCGATCCATGTTAGGCTTGTTGATCCACGTAAGGCTCGTTGATCCATGCTTGTTAATCCACTTAATGCTCGTTGATCCATGCTTGTTAATCCACTTAATGCTCGTTGATCCATGCTGGGCTTGTTGATCAACGTTAGGCTTGTTGATCCATGCTTGTTGATCCATGCTTGTTGTTCCATGCTTGTTGATCCATGTTAGGCTTCTTGATCCATGTTAGGCTTCTTGATCCATGGCTTGTTGATCCATGTTAGGCTTGTTGATCCATGGCTTGTTGATCCATGTTAGGCTTGTTGATCCACGTTAGGCTTGTTGATCCATGTTAGGCTTGTTGATCCATGGCTTGTTGATCCACATTAGGCTTGTTGATCCATGTTAGGCTTGTTGATCCATGGCTTGTTGATCCATTGTGGGCTTGTTGATCCACGTTAGGCTTGTTGATCCATGTTAGGCTTGTTGATCCATGGCTTGTTGATCCATGGCTTGTTGATCGATTGTGGGCTTGTTGATCCATGGCTTGTTGATCCATGGCTTGTTGATCCATGTTAGGCTTGTTGATCCATGGCTTGTTGATCCATTGTGGGCTTGTTGATCCATGTTAGGCTTGTTGATCCATGGCTTGTTGATCCATGGCTTGTTGATCCATTGTAGGCTTGTTGATCCATGTTAGGCTTGTTGATCCATGGCTTGTTGATCCATGTTAGGCTTGTTGATCCATGTTAGGCTTGTTGATCCACGTTAGGCTTGTTGATCCACGGCTTGTTGATCCATTGTGGGCTTGTTGATCCATGGCTTGTTGATCCACGTTAGGCTTGTTGATCCATGTTAGGCTTGTTGATCCACGTTAGGCTTGTTGATCCATGTTAGGCTTGTTGATCCATGGCTTGTTGATCCATGTTAGGCTTGTTGATCCATGTTAGGCTTGTTGATCCATGGCTTGTTGATCCACGTTAGGCTTGTTGATCCATGGCTTGTTGATCCATTGTGGGCTTGTTGATCCATTGTGGGCTTGTTGATCCATGGCTTGTTGATCCATGTTAGGCTTGTTGATCCATGGCTTGTTGATCCATGGCTTGTTGATCCATTGTGGGCTTGTTGATCCACGTTAGGCTTGTTGATCCACGTTAGGCTTGTTGATCAATGTTAGGCTTGTTGATCAATGTTAGGCTTGTTGATCCATGTTAGGCTTGTTGATCCATGGCTTGTTGATCCACGTTAGGCTTGTTGATCAATGTTAGGCTTGTTGATCCACGTTAGGCTTGTTGATCCATTGTGGGCTTGTTGATCCACGTTAGGCTTGTTGATCCATGGCTTGTTGATCCATGTAAGGCTTGTTGATCCATGTTAGGCTCGTTGATCCACGGCTTGTTGATCCATTGTGGGCTTGTGGTTCCATTGTGGGCTTGTTGATCCATTGTGGGCTTGTTGATCCATTGTGGGCTTGTTGATCCATGGCTTGTTGATCCACGTTAGGCTTGTTGATCCATGGCTTGTTGATCCATTGTGGGCTTGTTGATCCATGGCTTGTTGATCCACGTTAGGCTTGTTGATCCATGTTAGGCTTGTTGATCCATGGCTTGTTGATCCACGTTAGGCTTGTTGATCCACGTTAGGCTTGTTGATCCATGTTAGGCTTGTTGATCCATGTTAGGCTTGTTGATCAATGTTAGGCTTGTTGATCAATGTTAGGCTTGTTGATCAATGTTAGGCTTGTTGATCCACGGCTTGTTGATCCATTGTGGGCTTGTTGATCCATTGTGGGCTTGTTGATCCATTGTGGGCTTGTTGATCCATTGTGGGCTTGTTGATCCATGGCTTGTTGATCCATGGCTTGTTGATCCATGTTAGGCTTGTTGTTCCATGTTAGGCTTGTTGTTCCATGCAGGGGTTGTTGTTCCATTCTTGTTCTTCCATGATTGTTGTTCCATGGCTTGTTGTTCCATGCAGGGGTTGTTGATCCATGCTTGTTGTTCCATGCTTGTTGATCCATTGCTGGGCTTGTTGTAAAGTCTGACACACACAGAAGCATCGCTGTTACAGCACAGCACAGCACAGCACAGCACATCAGAGAGTATTGTGTAAACACACAATCATGCAACATATGACAGCAGCTGTTCAAAAAAAAATCGTTAAAAAATTGTGGTACAGCAGTTTAATGAATGCTAGTTGTCTGACACAATAAAGTTGTGCTGTTGCCTTGTGCAGTGCTGGTTCATTGTGTTGCGGGCTTTGGGCTTGTTCCCTTCTTGTTGGACTTGTTGGGTCCTTGTTGGACTTGTTGGGTCCATGTTGGACTTGTTGGACATGTTGGGTCCATGTTGGACTTGTTGGGTCCTTGTTGGACATGTTGGTTCCATGTTGGACTTGTTGGGTCCATGTTGGACTTGTTGGGTCCTTGTTGGACTTGTTGGGTCCTTGTTGGGTCCATGTTGGACTTGTTGGGTCCTTGTTGGACTTGTTGGGTTCATGTTGGACTTGTTGGGTCCTTGTTGGACTTGTTGGTTCCATGTTGGACTTGTTTGGTCCTTGTTGGACTTGTTGGGTCCATGTTTGACTTGTTGGGTCCTTGTGGGACTTGTTGGGTCCTTGTTGGACTTCTTTGGTCCTTGTGGGACTTCTTTGGTCCTTGTGGGACTTGTTGGATCCTTGTGGGAATTGTTTGATCCATGTTGGACTTGTTGGGTCATTGTGGGACGATTCGTTGTTTCCACTTGTCTGCGGGGATTCTCGATTAGAATTTGTCCCCAGCAACCTGTGATGGTGGTATTGTGGATCGGGTGTCAGATTTGACCTGGTTGATTGTGTGTCATCATGTCCCGAAGGCATGGATCTTTGCTCACAATATCAATCACTGAATTGTCGGGTCCAGATGCAATTATTTCCAGGCCATCCTCGCAAAGCTTGAATACGTTTGCTGGCAGAACTGTGTGTCCTCATCCGTTCTTTGGTTCATATCACTCCATCCAGATGTCACAACTGGTAGGGGGCGGTCGGGTAGCCTAGTGGTTAAAGCCTTCGCTCGTCACGCCGGGTTTGATTCCCATTTCTGGTGGAATATTCCTAAAAGCAGTGTAAAACCATACTCACTCACTCACTCACTCACTCACTCACTCACTCACTCACTCACTCACTCACTCACTCACTCACTCACTCACTCACTCACTCACTCACTCACCAATATGCACTGCAGGATATCCACATCAGTGATTGGCTGCAAATCAGAAGATACTTGTAAAATCTAAATACCAATCTCTTCCTTATTCTTGTACCTACAAGTATGTATACTTGTATTCATTGAAAGGGAACTTTAAGGTAAGGATTTCAGATTCAAAACAAAAGACCTGACCCACGATTCGACTCCTGACCACAGATACACTTACGTGTACATCAAGGTTTCAAAATTCAAGACCCTGTAAAGCTTTCAAAATGTTTTATGTTAGACATATGGAGGATATTTTCAAATTTGCTGCATCAGAGACCAAAATGATGTCCAATGCAAATTCCTATTTTGACTTGTGTACCATATGTTCCCATGTTTGTTCAGGTGAAGACTTGACTTGCCTTTGCATGTATTTGTGATTCGTGTCACCAGTGGGGCATGATACAGTCACTTTTTCACATGTACCGGGAATCGTTAGTATTTGATAGTGATTCATACACATGCCCATGATATAGTCGGAATAGTGCAATGGACATTTTAGAAGAGATTTCTTGTAATTATGGAAATGGTTTTGTCGCTATTATTATGCACTCATAATTATGTAAATGTAACCATGGTAACGGTGCACTGTTACCTCATTGCTTCTATCCAGTTTTCATTTTTTCTATCCAACTTGCTGACTTCCTAACAATAAACAATGATCAGATTGATTAATAACAATTGATGACGTTTGCACTGATGGAATAATGTAATTTTGCCTCATCCTGAAAACAAATACACACCCGCAAACCATTCAGTCTTTCTATGAATGAAATGCCTGGAATTAACAAAAGAATATGGCAGTTTGTAATGTTTTGTTCCCCGGGGCCACTGCACGTCCGCTGTATCCCATGATAGTTGGATGTATATTCCAACTAGCATCTCAGTGACACCCCACCAGGGAGCAGCGATTGGATTATCTGTTGCACCAGGGAGCAGCGATTAGATTTTCTGTTGCACCAGGGAGCAGCGATTGGATTTCTGTTGCACCAGGGAGCAGCGATTGGATTATCTATTGTGCCAGGGAGCAGCAATGGGTTTATCTGTTGCACTAGGGAGCAGCGATTGGATTATCTATTGCACCAGGGAGCAGCGATTGGATTTTCTGTTGCACCAGGGAGCAGCGATTGGATTATCTATTGTGCCAGGGAGCAGCGATGGGATTATCTGTTGCACCAGGGAGCAGCGATTGGATTATCTGTTGCACCAGGGAGCAGCGATTGGATTATCTATTGCACCAGGGAGCAGCGATGGGATTATCTGTTGCACCAGGAAGCAGCGATAGGATTATTTATTGCACCAGGGAGCAGCGATTGGATTATCTGTTGCACCAGGGAGCAGCGATTGGATTATCTGTTGTACCAGGGAGCAGCAATTGGATTTTCTGTTGTACCAGGGCATCAGTGATTGGATTATCTGGTTCACCAGGGAGCAGCGATTGAATAATCTGCTTTACCAGGGAGCAGCAATTGGATTTTCTGTTGTACCAGGGAGCAGCAATTGGATTTTCTGTTGTATCAGGGCAACAGTGATAGGATTATCTGTTGAGCAGCGATTGGATAATCTGTTGAAGACGGGTAGTAGCAATTTGATTGTTAAATTCAACATGCAGCATGTGCAGAAGAAAGAGATTGTTCGAGTGTGTCGTTTTCATGCACAGGTTACCTGTGGAATTACATTATTTATTTGAAAAGGCAAGAAAGGATGGAGAGCTGGAGCGTGCACAACACAATTAGCTCCCTTTCATTGCTGATGTGTTTGGTTGGACATGTTTGTATTAATTGCTTACAGCCATTTGTCCATAAGCCTGTGTTGTTGTCGCTAAGCCAGCAGGTGTTCCATGCAGATGTAATTTTCATGATGGAATTTTGTTTGTTTAATGCTTCAATATTCCAGCTATATAATGACAGCCTGTTAATATCGTGTTTGGGCCACACAATACAGTAATTGATATTTTGAGTAAAAATCAAAATCTGGGCACGCTGACACACTACCAAACAAGTCACCCAGACTGACAACCTGGTCTATTTAGCCACCTCTTATGACCAGCATGGGTTGCTGGGAGCCAATTCGAACCTGTACTTGAGTGACTTGTCATGAGATGCTATTCTGATACAGAATGATACAGGTGTATGTCAGGGTGATATGAGACCCGTGAAGATACGGGGTAGAATAGGTCTTCAGCAACCCATGCTTGCCGTAAAAGGCGACTATGCTTGTCGTAAGAGGCGACTAACGTGATCAGGTGGTCAGTTTCGCCGACATGGTTGATGCATGTCATCGATCCCAATTGCGTGGATCGATGCTCATTATATTAATCACTGGATTGTCTGGTTCAGACTTGATTATTTACAGACCGCCATCATAGCTGGAATATTGCTGAGTGGGCATTAAACAACAAACAAACACTGTAAAAATATATGCTATCATGGGTGCCCAACCTTGTCTACCAAATACGTGTTTGAAACAATGCACACAGACACATCATATCAATTGATTGTGACGTGTTGAATTTGTAGCACGCTATTTCAAATGTACGTGGGGCGGTCAGGTAGCCTGGTGGTTTAAGCGTTCGCTCGTCACGCAGAAGACCAGGGTTCGATTCCTGACATGGGTACAATGTGTGAAGCCCATTTCTGGTGTCCCCCGCCGTGATATTGCTGGAATATTGCTAAAAGCGGCGTTAAAGCATACTCACTCACTCAATCAAATGTACTGACAGTAAACATGATAAAGATATATTTTTCATTGTTCCCTTATTCGTTTCCATCAGAATATTTCTAAATGTGTTGAAAACAGCTGAGCTGTGTGTTGAAGGTAAACGCTGAATTCCTGCCATTACCCCAACCTGTTTTTGTGAAAGGTGTTACTAATACAACCACAAGGTGTTTCTAAGTGTGAAGCCAGGGGCTTTTATCACATTTAAAGAGGGTCAAAAATGCTTTTCATTTGCGACTTCAGTATTTACGTTATCAGTTCACCGGGAAGTCTTACCATGCTTACCACTTACTGTTAATCAAAAGTTTATCGACAGTTGGTTAGTTTGAGCTCCCTCCCTCCCTTCCCACTGTGTGCAATGTCTGACAGCTGGGGATGTGCAGCCTTGTGTGTACTGTCTGAACTGGATCAAGTTACAGACAGGCATTCCGTGCAGCCCCACCGCAAACCAGGCTGTCTCTGTCAGAGCTAAACCTCCAGGATCAACTGGGGAGAAGTAGCAGAAGACAAAAAAAAGATGCTCCTCTTGGTGATACGGGTCATCCTAAACCTAGCGGGTCAATGCTTTTTCTCCCCCAGTTCCAGATTCAGACGCTCCTAATTTTACACATTGTAGATTTTATAGTCTTCATTGAGAGTTATCTGTCCTTGAATTAATTGCTAACTTTAGTTTTAGGGTCTCTGAGTGCCGTTGTAAAAGCAGTCTTAGCGCTAAAGTGATCTAACTCCTTTACCTTAACATGGACTTACGACACTTGTAGCGCTAAGGTTGTTTTGTGCACAGGCACCCAGGTTGTCATCTTTCATTCCCTGTTTGACAACAAGATGTGCACAGAAATTTGGTTTTAGAAACAAAGAAAGAAACTTAGGTCACCTTGCCATTTTGAAAATCTGGAATTGATGAGAGATATTTTTTTTCATTTGCATGGCCTGCGAATTGGCTGAGTCCTTTACACAATGTGAAGTACACACTCTCATGCGATGACACCTAATCAGGCTGGCTAGCCCTACTTTAGAAATAATCATGATGTTTGACGTTATACTGGGAGTAAGCTTTGCTGTGATGTAGGTGAAGATATGTCTTAGGAGAATAGTACCATGGAAATTAACTTGGAATGTGGGGAGCTCTGAGTCAAATCTGGATGACTTGTTGGGCTTCTTTACCTGCAGATCTTGAAGATAGTGATATGAATCGGGTTGAAGTTTAAAGGATATTTTTATAGATCTCACTGGTGCAACATGGGTGGTCAGGGGACTTAACTCTGAACAGGTCGAGCTGCACTGGTGCACACATGGGTGTTCAAAATGTTCAAGGGACTTCGCTGTCCACAGGTTAGGCTGCAGTGGTGCAACTTAAACATTGGTGTCGGGAATTAACTGTGAACAGGTCGAGCTGCACTGGTGCAAGTTTAATAAGGGTGTTCAGGGGACTTAGCTCTCCACAGGTCGGGCTGCACTGGTGCAAGAAGTATCAGGCTGTTAATTAGATGGGTTTTCATTTGCATGTTTTTACAAATTCAAAGTTATTTGGGATGGATCACATACAGCTGTGATATGTGACCATGGCCTAAAGCAATGTAGGGCACTAAAGAAGTCGCCATGTATGATATAAGTACATTCAGCCAATGAGCTAGGTCTCCTTTGTCTTGATGTAAAGCATCGTGAAGTATTGTGACAGGTCGATGATCAGCGAGACAATTAACATGATTAATGGTATACTTCGTGATATGTGTCTGATGTCATACCAGCATGCAGACAGTCATGGGCAAT